TTGGTCAAGGAGCTCTGGTAGTATAGTGGTTACGAATCGAGCTGTGAACCACAAGGTCAGCAGTTCGAATCTCTCAGCTGTTCCATGGGAGAAAGATGAGGTTTTCTGCTCCCGTAAAGATTTACAGCCTCGGAAACCCTGTACAGAGTCGCTATGAGTCGGAACTGACTCCACAGCACATAACAACAACAACAACATACTTGGGTCATGTCTTTAATCTACTTTGAAAATCTGTGTCTTTTAATTGGTGTTTTTAAGAACACTTACATTTAAGGTGACTATTGCTATGTCTATGGAGCTCTGGTAGCGTAGTGGTTACGAATTGGGCTGCGAACCTTAAGGTCAGCGGTTCGAAACTACCAGCCGCTCCGCGGGAGAAAGATGAGGCTTTCTGCTCCTGTAAAGATTTACACCCTCGGAAACCCTGTACAGAGTCGCTATGAGTCGGAACCGACTCGACGGCACATAACAACAACAACAACATTGCTATGTCAGGAGTCCTGGTATGACGCTGTGGGATAAAGCACTAGATCATAAGCTCTGTTTGAATCACAGGTCAGAGGTTCAAACTTACAAGTCACTCCATGGAAACCCCCTATACAGGGTTGTAATGAGTCAGAACTGACTCAGCAGCACTTGACAGGAACAACAATTGATGTGTCAGGACTTAAATTTGCCATTTTATATTTAGTTTTGTTTATTCTGTGGGGTTTTTTTTAAATTTTTATTTCTCTGTTTTCTTATTCCCTGTGGATTTTTGTTGTTGTTATGTGCCGTGGAGACTGTTCTGACCCATAGCGACCCTGTACAGGGTTTCCGAGGCTGTAAATCTTTATGGGAGCAGAACGCCTCATCTTTCTCCTGCGGAACAGCTGGTAGTTTCGAACTGCTGACCATAAGGTTAAGAGCCCGATTTGTAACCACTACTCTACCAGAGTTCAATAGTTTTTAGAATTTGATTTATAGTAATTGATAGCGTTTTTGCATGTATCTGTGTGTATAGCTTCTTCAGTAGTGGTTCTTACCACAGTCTGCTGGTGGTGTCCTTAAACAGCTGGAGTAAAGTGGAGAAATCTTGCCTTTCTTGATGTTCCTTTACACTTTCTTCTTTATAATTGTTATACTTTCTCTACATATATTTAGACCCTCATTAGACACTGTTACCATTTTGTTTCAGTTGTCAAGAGGAAAGGAAAGTCTATTATATTTAGGCATGTTTTGGATTAGCATATGTTTTCATCCTTGCCAATAATCCAGAGACCCTTCTTTTACCATTTCCTATTTGTTTAGTCATTGTCTAGGGTAAGCCTGCTGGGGACAACTTCTCTTAGTTGTACTTCACCTGAGAATATCTTGATTGCACCTTCTATCCTGAGGGATGTATTCGTTGGCTGTAGGAGTCTGGGTTGACAGTTCTTTCCTTTCTGCACTTGGAAACTATTGTGCCACTTCCTCTGGCCTCCTGGCTTTTGATGTGAAATCTGCTGTCATTTGAATTGGTTTTCTCCTGTAGGTAAAGTGGTGTTTTTCTCACTGCTTTCAAGATATTTTTATGTCTTTAGTGTTCAGACAAATTTAGTTGTGAACATAAATTTGGCATAAATTGCTTTGGGTTTATTGTTTGGGATTTGCTCAGCTTCTTGACTGTGAGGTTTATAGTCATTTGCTAAAATTGGGACTTTTGAGCCTTTGTTTCTTATAGTGCTTTATCAGCCCCCTCTGTTTTTCCTTTCCTTCCGACTTTCCTTCTGAGAATCAGTGACATGTTTGTATCTTCTGTTAGTCCCACAGGGTCCCTAAGCCCCCCTCCCCCCAGGCTATTTTATCTCTGTTTTCTTCAGACTGGGTAATTTCTATTGCCCGTCTTCATGTTTACTGATTTGTGTTGTATAGTCTCTCCATTTCTTTATTTTAATTATTGTATTTTTATTCATAAAATTTTCATTTGATTTCTTCTTTATAGCTTTTATTTTTTTGCTGAGACCTTTTCTCTGTTTTTAGGTCCCCACCTCCCCCATTTGTTTTGAGTGTGTTTGAGTGCTTTGTGTTTGTGGCTGCTTTTAGTCTTTGCTAGACAAATGTAGTATCTGTTATTTGTAGCATCTGTTATTTCTGCATTGGTATCTATTCATATTCTTTTTTCATTTAGCTTGAGATTTTCCTGGTTCTTGGTATGGGGAGTGATTTTTTTTTTATTAAAACCTAGACATTTTTGTATTATATTATGAGACAGTGGAGCTTCTTTAAGCTCTATGTAATCTGGATTTCTCTGACAGACACCACTGTAGAAGAAATAAATGTGCCCATCTCATCACTGTGAGGTGGAGATAGAAGTCCAGGTTCCCCACTCAGTCTCCCTTGATCCTGACTTGGCAAAGGGCCTCTTTGTTAATTCTGGGTGGGGATAGAAGTTCCTGTTCCCCATGTGCTCCCCACAGACTCTGCAGTTATGGCCTCATTCCCACAGGCTGTAAGTCCTGACTGTGACACTTGCCATTGGGAGCTGGAAGGAGGAATGCCCCTGCACTACCACTAGGGAGTGAAGGGTCCCATCTTCACAGACACCAGGGAACTGGGGTGGTGGTGGAATTGTGACTGCCCAGTAAGGATGAATGTCCCAACTCCTAATCACTGTAACTTTTCCTGTGGGTGTGTTGGGGCACCTCTTGACAGTCCAGTGAGTGGAAATCCGGACTCCTCACTCTACCTTTATAGTGATGTGTGTGTGAGCAGGGCCATGCTTTGTCTCTGGTGTTTGGTTATCTTCTGAAACTGCTCTGTTTCTGTTCTCTTATCCCTTACTTCCTGGTCTTGAAGCTTTGCTGGCCCTTTTGTTGTGAAAGGCAGGCTTTCACTGGGAATTGTGTTGATCCCTGATGGCATTTCCAGGGTGCTGACTTCTTCAACTCTAAATCCAGAATGTATGAGGCACAGAGAAAACCCAGCACCTCACCACCATATCACTCACTTTACGGGTGCTTGAGGCCCTTAGCTTACCTGCCTGCTCTCTCCACCTTTCAGTCTTCCTGTGTTTGCTTTGTAATGTTGAGTGCTTTAGTTGTGTGTAGCAGGAGAATGGGGAAAAGTAGCTTTTTCTCCATCTTCCCAGAAATGAAATCTCATCTTTTTATGAAAAACATTTCATAGGGCTGTATGCTTTTATGGAATTCTATGTTGACAGCAATTTCCTTTTAATAATTGAAAAATGTTACTCAGTTGTCTCCTGATTTGCATTGTTTTTGAAGAAAAGTTTGTTGTCAGTTTTACTTTTCTTTCATCGTATGTAGGTGCCTGTAAGGTTTTCATTTGATCACTGTTTTTCAGCCATTGGACTGAATGGATCTTTGCATAGTTTCTTTTATGTTTCTCTTTTGCTTGTGGTTTGTTGAAGTTCTTAAATATGTGGATTTACTTTTCCTTCAAATTTGGACAACTTTCATAATTGTAAAAGCTTTTACTTTTTAAAAAATTAACATACAGTAAAATGAAAAAATTTTAATTTTAGCATGTGTTTAGATTTATGTAGTTAATACCTCTGTGAGGATGCAAAACTGATTCATTACTAAAGAAAAACTCTGTGCTATTCCTTCTTGTTGTCATTAAATGCTGTCGAATTGGTTCCAACTCATAGCAACACTTATATAGGGTTTCTGAGGCTTTCAAATTTTTCGCAGGAGCAGAAAGCCTCATTTTTCTTCTGTGGAATGGCTGGTGGGCCATCAAACGTATGGTTCACAGTCCAGTGCTTATCCTATGGAGCCATAGGAATCATTTCCTGAGCTATTTATTATGTCCCCTCACCTTTGGACTCCAATTGCATGTATATTAGGGAGAATTTGGAGTTGTCCCATAGCTGCCTAATAGGCTTATTTTTTAGTTTAGTCCACCCCCCTCCCTGTATTTCATTATAGCTATCTTTTATTGTTTCTAATGTCTTCATGTTCTCTGATCTTTTCTTCAGTGGTGTCTAATCTCTTGTTAACCCCTTCCCTTCTCCCTTTAGCCTCCCCACCCCCCATATTTTTCATCTCAGAGTATATTTTTTGTCTATAGAAGTTTCCGGTGTTTCTGGTCCACTTTCATGCCTTTCCTGAACCTCCTCTTGCTTTTCTCACTTCTTGTACCATCTGAGAATATTTATAGTGTCATCTTAAATATTTTTGTCTTTAATGGTTATCTTTGTCATTTCTGGGTCTGTCTCTGTTGACTGTCTCTTTGTTATCAGTCATCACATGGCTGATGGTCTAATTGGATGCCAGGTATGATGAACTTTATATTGATGGGTGCTGGACTTGTTTTTTTTTTTAATTATTATTATTTTCTTTATTCTTTTAACTATTTTTGAGCATCATTCTGAGGCATTGTTCACTGGAAAGAATTTGAACTTTTTCAAGTCTATTTTTTTTTAACTTGATAAGGCCTTACTATAAGGCAGTGTTTCTCAGTTTCAGGTCTTGGGGGCCAGGCACATGTTTATTTGAGGGCTGTTCTGTGTGTTTTAGGTGTGTAGTAGCATTGCTGGCCTCTGTCCACTAGAGGACAGTAACACCATTTAGTCTGGAGCTAAGAATGGGGGGGTCTACATTTTTAAAAAGTTGTTTAATAAAAAAGAGACCTGCAGTTGAGACCGCAGTTTGTAGGGAAGAAAGCCAAAATCTGTACAGAGAGTTTTTCTAAGCCCTGGTATGTGAGTCAAAATGGAAGTGTAATGAAGTTCTTACAGAAGAGTATTAAGGTGTAAGTCCAATTTTGAGTTTTCCACTTAATAGCTATTTAACGCTGAGCAAATTTTTACCTCTGAGTCTCAGTGCCCTCTGAGCTGATACATATTTGTCACTTAGGCCAGGCGGCAATTTAAATGAATGAATATAAAGTCAATGAAATGGTTGCTGTTATTGTTGCTTCAACGTAGGGGCGTGTCCTCATATCTAATGTACATTTGATGTATGTGTATGTAGTTGTATCTCTGCTAATTTGGAGGATTATCTGTTGTCTTTCAGGTCATGCAGAAGGATTTTGTATGATGTGTACAATGCAAGCACACATTACCCAGGCACTCAGCAATCCTGGGGACGTTATTAAACCAATGTTTGTCATCAATGAGATGCGGCGTAAGTACCATTCTGGAGTAGTTGATATTAGTATTTATTAGTTGGTCTTAACGACCTGACTGGTAAAGTGAGTTCCTTATGTATCATATACCAAACATATTTGTTCATTCATGGATATTTTTTTACTTACTGCAATTTCTAGTCAAATAGTTTATCACATAAACATGTTTTGAAACTTCAAAGCAACAGATGACATAATAACAAAATAAAAATAATAAATAGAAGACAATGTTCAGTTAATATAAACACATTTTAACGCTTCTCTGAAGCTCAGAATTTGTTCTGAAATCATTGATAACGTTTTGCAGTGTTTTCTTTCCCCACATGTTTGGATGTAATGCTGACTCTGATAAATATTTGCTTGTAGGTTTCTGGAAATAGTTTTTAATTATTTTCAATTGGGTATATGCTATACATAGTGACAGGAATTGTCCAAATAAAATGAATTTGACTCTTGAAGAAAAATTTGTACTCAGAGCTTAACACATTTGTTGGATGAATTCTACTTTTCGTATTTAGTTTTTAATTTATTTAAAAGTTTTTCTTCTGGTTTATAATAATTCTGATAGGCTGCTTGAAATTTCCTTTTGTTCTTTGTGTATTTTTTGCAATGTATTTTTACATCATCCTAACTAATTGAGTTGTAGTAAAAAATGTCTGCAAAAGGAATAACAGAAACGCTGCAACTCTTGAGTCCAGTGCTCCGCAGGGTTGTTCGGGAATGCAGGGTGACAGGGAGAAGACACTGTAATTCTTCTGCCTAAAAAGCTGCTGAATGTTAGAGGTGTTACTACATGGTCAGGAGAGCTAATGCAGACACCTTGAGAACATTGTTGGATCCTGGCATTTTGGTTGTTTAAAATCATACATGTGCATATATGTGGTCTGGGTATGGCATTGTAGGATGAGCACTGGACTGCAAGCTATAAGGTTGGCAGTTGAAATCCACTAACCACTCTTAGAAACCCTACATATAGTCTCTGTGAATCAAAACTGACTTGATGGCACACAGCAGATAGATAGATAATTAGATAATAGAGAGAGAGAATAATTGGATAGATGTTAAGAGCTGTCAAGGTCAAGTTGGTTCCAACTCATAGTGACCCTGAATAGGGTTTGTGAGGTCTCTCTGTGGGAGCAGAAAACCTTATCTTTCTCCCATGAAGTGGCTGGCAGGCTTGAACCGTGGACCTTGTGGTTCACAGTTCAGTGCTTTTCATATGGAGATAGATAGATATTATATGGAATGGAATTTTTCCATGAATTTGTTGAAGCCCCCCTACGTGTGTGGGATATAATTAAAATTTAAAAACCTAGTCTTTCAGAAAATGAAATGGCTGTGTATGTGTTACTTACATGCATGGAGACATGCATACATTGTAGAATCAATCGTGAAACCGTCATTTTTTTTTTAGATCAAAGGTGGAAGAATATTGGCGATTTCAAATTACAAGTGAATATGTATTTATATACATTGGTACACAAAATTTGACCTATGCTGTTTTATTGGAGAATATGGTTTGTGCTTTGTGACCATGTAATTTGGCCTTGCAACTAGGTAGTCAGAAGTAGGACTAAAATGTTGCTGTACTCCTGAGAGCAGAACATTGGTTCTGTAGGTCAGCGGGGCAGAATTGAGAAGGTTTGAACATTTATGTTGGCCTAGATTTTATTATCATGAAGATTTAGTACCAGATTTTAAATGTGTACTCCAGTCCTGAAACAAATTTAAAAAATAATTTTAGTTTGTGTTGTTGAGACTATACACAGCAAGGCATACACCAGTTCAACGCTTATACTTGCACAATTAAATGACGACGCCATCTAACATTTTTGACAAAGTTTTGAGACAGTATAGCCTAAGGTGTATATAGTCAAGTAGTTTCATTAACTTGCTAAGGACCTGGAGCGTCTTTAATGCACAGGTGACTCTGTTGCTACTCATGGATTTTTAGAAACTTTAGCAATGTGGGCTCTTAGTGGCCTAGAGGCTATTGTCCTCTCTGTTCTCAAGGTAACTTGTGTTAATATTAGCTAGCTTCTCATGAAATCAGCTGTTCAGACCTACTTTGTAAAGAAGTACTATCCTAAGATAAAACTTTTTTTTGGTTACAGCATGAGCACATTATACAATGATAAAACATTGTGTTAAATTTTGCAGGGATAGCTAGACACTTTCGTTTTGGAAACCAAGAAGATGCCCATGAATTCCTTCAGTACACTGTAGATGCTATGCAAAAAGCATGCTTGAACGGCAGCAATAAGTAAGTCCAACAGAGCGCCCACCCTGCCCTCTGTCTGCGTCTCTGGTGTCTCATAATTCAGTTTTGTCTTTTATGTTAAAAACTACATGGATCTACACTTGCTTCACCTTTTGGTTTTGCACTGACTCTAGCCCAACCTCTCTGCATGCTTGTAAAAGAGTTAAGATTTAAAAAGGTGTGCTAACTGTGGCCATTTGAATTGATCAATTATAGCTGTCAGGAGATGAGTGTTGGCCTTTCCATTGTTTGATTTCTGGATGTCAGCTGAACTCTGCAGGTCTAAACCAATCACGGCTCCTTTCGATTCATGCCTGCTGTTATCTCTGCTCATTTCTGACTTTGGAAATTGGGGTCTGTTCCCTCTCACTCTGTCTGGTCAGTTGCCAATTCCTGTAGATTCTTCCTTAAAACCTAAATGCAGACTCAAGGAAGATTGGGGAAAGCATTAGATAACAACTCCTAAACCTCTTGATCTGGTCTCTACACCTCTGGCAAATCTCCTTCTCTGTCTTGGTGACTGCAGGGGTTTGGGTGATGACAGGCCACAAATCATGGAGGAGTTCTGGGTCTCTGTTCATAATCCTGCCTCAGGTCTCTTCCTCATGTGTCTTTTTTAAAAATAATTTCTTGGTTTGAGCAAATTAGTTTTACATTCAACAGTTTATGCGTATTTTGTAACATCATGCAGTAACTCTTCCCACTTCCTCCCGATAGTCACCATTTCTAAGTGTCCTTTCCTGCTTCCTGAGCTTTGTTTTGGGGCAAATGCTGCCTTTTCATCTCGTGTGGATGATGGTTCTAAGGAGCATGAATCTTACTGTTCACTTTACAGGCCTCCTGTCGTTTAGCTCCTAGGTGATCCCCAGGGGGTGGGTTCACTTCCAGCTTTGGAGGGTGCTGAAGGAAGGGCCAGTCTATCAGACCAATAACTCTAGTTTGACATTTTCCTCCCATTCTGTCCGGGATCTTCTGTGGTCCTAATCAGAGCAGTCGGTAGGGGTAACAGGCCCCGTCCTCTTGCTTCAGGGCCAAATTTCTGCCTTGTCTTCAAGCCCCTTGTCTCCCCTTTTGTGCCTGCTCTTCTGCCTCTTTAGCTCCCTTTCACACTGCCCTCACTTTGGCCTGCCCAGGCAGGCCTCTTCTCTGGCTACCACATATGAATGACTTTATCTGTGGCTCTCCTGCTTATTCCCTGGTGGACGGACATGCTTCCGAAGTCTGGTCGTAGCCTCTGTGACTGTTGCAGAGCTCTTCTCTCATGTCACTGTTTGACTCTTTTCAGATTAGACAGACACACCCAGGCAACCACACTTGTTTGTCAAATATTTGGCGGCTACCTGAGGTCTCGAGGTAAGTTTTCGTTTAAGAGTGGGTAAATTGATATATGACTGTGGTTTACATAAGCTGTGAACCGTCAGAAGAAGGGGTTAATAATGAAATCCACCCAATCCCCAATCCTCTCTTCCCAGAGGCAACCACCGTGCCAGTTTGTAGCATCACACCAGAACTCCATATATGCCCTATGTCCATGTAAAACTATCAATGTAGAGTAAACTCCTGGTGGTATTGGAACAGCTGGATCGAAGGGTATGGGTGTTTTAAATGTTGGTATTGCCACATTGTCCTTTCTAGAGGTTATACCAAGGAGCACTGGTGGTACAGTGGCTAAAGTAATCAGCTGCTAACCAAAAGGTTGGCAGTTCAAATACACCAGTCGCCCCACGGCAGAAAGATATAGCAGTCTGTTTCCATACAAGATGGCAGTTCTCTTCAGTCCTGTAAGGTTGCTATGAGTTGGAGTTGACTTGAGGGCAGTGGGTTTGGGTGTTTTTGGTTCGAGGTCATCCCACTGACATCTCACCTAAACTCATTACTGCTACACACGCTGTGTGAAGTCTTCATGCGCTAAAGCCTTTGTCCAGTGGGAGTGGGAGAAGAATGTGCCTTGTTGTAGTTTGTATTTGGATAAGCGTCTTTGCACTTTGTCCTTTCAGTAGTTGGTACTGTCATAATGATTATTACACTTTGCTAATAACTTTGTGGTTTTTTGTTTTTGTTTTTTTCAGTTAAATGTTTAAATTGCAAAGGCGTTTCAGATACTTTTGACCCGTATCTCGATATAACATTGGAAATAAAGGTAAACTTGATCGTCGCGGTAGTAGTGGGAAAAAAAAATCAGTCATCCTTTACAGAACTTGGTGGTTCACTTAGAATTTGGCTTATACTAGTTAGAGTGTGTGAACCGGAAATTGCAATGTGCTTCGACTTCATTTGAGACGTGATTTTGTTCAGGTTTTAAAAATGTTAAAAACTTCAGTTTTTCACCATTCCTTGAATTTTTCTCTTAATAAATCTTGTTGAACCCAGAAGGTATCAGTGCCATACTTCCATATTTTGGCATCTGATTCAAATAGACTCTGGACGGGGCCTATCTAGCTGCATTTAGAGGGTTATTCTTTAGGGATGGATCTGTTTCTTGCATTTTAAAAACTCCTGTTTTGTGTTTTTATTAAGCTTTTGTTTTTCTGATAATAAATGTGTAGTACATGCTTATGATAAAAATGGCAGATATTGTAGACATATGTAAAATTCCATCCTTCAGAATTAAGGCTTCTTGAAAATTGGATACATATTGTTCCAGATATTTATATATGTATATGTGTGTGTGTATATACAACATTTTGTATATGTAATTGTTGTTCAGTTCTGTGGAGTTGCTTCTGACTTATACTCACTGTATGTAGGGTTTCCAAAGAGCAGCTGGTGAGTTTGAACTGCCAACCTTACAGTTCAAATCAATCTTGTGACTCAGCACATTTTCCTGCAGCATCACATCAGGATGCTGTATATATCATATATATAACATAGAATCCTAGTATGTTGCTGCAGAATAAGCACTAGACCGCAAGGTCGGTTTAAAATGCAAGGTCAGATGTTCAAACTCACTAGTTACTCCTCAGAAACCCTGTGTAGGGTTGTTGTAAGTCAGAATTGACAGCATTTAGAGATAATAATAAATAAATAAATATATATATATATATGAGGGAATTTCAAAAAGTTAGTTGAAAAGAAGCCCTCTCACTTAATATCTATGAAATATGACTATACTTTCTGCCTTTTTGGCCTTTTGCTTATTTTCATGGAGTTGCACTTGGGGTGGGGCAGTCTGTGTATACACGTTCTCAGGGTGCTTGTGTTGGGTCCAGTGAACAGGTACACCTCCATTCACGTCCCTAATTCCTAGCTGCTTGATAACTTGGTTTATTCCCAATGTTGTGCTCTTTTAAGTAAAACCACATCAAGCAATCGCTGTATGTAGTTTTGCTCATCACTTCTGTCTGCTCCTTTTTGGGGGGCTTTTTTAAACTTTTTATTGTGAATTGAGTGAAGGTTAACAGACAAGATCATCAACTTTCCCCGCAACCAATCCTATGCTTTGCTTCATCTCAGTGATTACATTCCACTCCCTGCAATAACACCTATATGCTTCCTTTCCCTATGGCTGCCCTTTTACTTCTTATTTTTGAGGAACCAACAAAGCAAAGATACTTGATATATACCTACAAAACAAAAAATATATATTCATTTAGATGTCCAAAGGGCACATTTTGCAAGCCTGCCAGTCTGCTCATTTTTGAGTGAGAAGGGAAATGGTGAGATGTGTACATGTGTCATCAGACTGAGGGAGTCTTGTTTTTCTCGTATGAAGATGCACATTTGACTTCAGCTGTGAGTTATGATGCATGTGCCGTTTCTTCTCAGGCAGCTCAGAGTGTCAACAAAGCGCTGGAGCAGTTCGTGAAGCCGGAGCAGCTTGATGGGGAAAACTCCTACAAGTGCAGCAAGTACGTTGGTGGGCGGTACGAACTCTGGTGCCCACTGCTTTGACGGGGTTGTTGGAAGAACCCTACTAGACTCCCTTTTGCCTGAATGTTTCCAGCCCTTGTGCCCTTGGGGGCTGAAGTTTTATTTCTGTGTGCTAAGTTTGTGGAAGGATAGTAAGGCGAGGCCCTCCAGCAGCTGCCCCCGTCTGCCCCCCATCAGCACTGCTGTGGAGGAAGACGCAGCCGGGATTGCGTGTCTGTCACACAGGCCTGTCGTTGACGTCCCTCTGAAAGGCCGGATGGGGTAGCTCTGTGGAGCCCTTTTCTTCCCACCTGGTTAAGCAGCTTTCTCTCTTCTGATGGTTACCCAGAATTCGGGGTCACACGTACATTGTGTTTCTTCATAAAGTATATTATGTTTCCTCATGAAGTCAAGAAAGTGGGTTTAAGAAAACCTTGATTCTTTGATTTTAAGTAGATAATCGTTTTTAGTCAAAGATTCATTTTTAGTGAAAGAAGGCTTTCTCCCTCACCTCAGCTCCATGATCTTCGTTTTCCATCTTTTATCCAGATGGGACTTTGGTTTCACAGAATAGAAACCAGCTTAAATCGCTGTTAGTTTTCAGTTTGCTTTTCATTGAGAAAAACTTGTATTAAACAAGCTAAAACTTGTTTTAACTTGTTTAATACAAATTTGTAAAAACTTCTATTTTAAAATTATGGGAACACCTCCATGGCTTGGTATCTGAGAACTGCCGCCCCTTCTCCTTTTATACTAACTCGGCAGTTTCTCCCATATTTTTCATTTACTGTTTCCATCATCAGTTGAAGGGCTGGCATTTCTCGTCTAGTATACTAACTTTGGAAATGAATTCGGAATGTTGCAGAGAAACAACTAAGAAAAAACTACAATACCGAAAAATATAAATACAGATTCGTTTAACTCTTTTGTTTCTGTTTTTTCAAGATGTAAAAAGATGGTTCCAGCTTCAAAGAGATTCACTATACATCGATCATCTAATGTTCTCACGCTTTCTCTGAAACGTTTTGCTAATTTTACTGGTGGAAAAATTGCTAAGGTATGTAGATAATATTCATATCATTAACAACCTTTTCTATTGGGTCTTCTCAAGGTTTAAGTGTCAGTTGTTAGTTATAAAAGGTTATATAAACAACTTAATTGAATAAATGTGTTGGCTTGATTTTTCTTAAGCCTTTCAGCATTTAGTAGTGGGGATAAAAGGTCAAAGAATTGAGCCAGTGTTTTGGTGAGTGTGCGAATGAGTGTGTTGTACCCATGTCCTATAGCTGGCTAGATTTTCTGATGGTAAAATTGGTAACTATTGTGTACATCTGGTTTCATAGTTCATTCTTTATCATCCAGGCTAAGGAGAGGCATAGGAAACCAGTGTATGTGATGTGAAATCGAGAGGATTTCTCAGCCATGTCTTGCCCTCCTTGGATCAAAGCCTGTTCTCTTGTTTGTTCATTTCTTTGCTGATTGGAGGTGGTGATGGTGTTGGGTACTGCTGAGTCAGTTCCAACTCCCAGGAACCCCATGTACAATCATGAACAGCAGAAGGAAACACTTGCCCACTCCTGTGCCCTCCACACAATCATTCTTTATGCTTGAATCTATATTTGTAGCCACTGTGCCAGTCCATCTCTTGAGGGTCTTCTGCTTTTTTGCTGACTCTCTGTTTATCAAGCATAATGCCCTTCTCTAGGACTGGCCCCTCCTGTCACATGTCCAAGTACATGAGGTGAAGCCTTGCCATCCTGGCTTCTAAGGAGCATTCTGACTGTCTTTCTTCCTAGACAGATTTGTTTGTTGTTCTGACAGTCCATCGTATACTTGGTATTCTTCATCACTATAATAATTCAAGTGCATCACTTCAGGTTAGCAGTACTCTCAATTTTCCCAGTTTACTCCCACTTTCTAAAGATTGAAAGTGGTTAGAAATTAAAGAATAAGCAAGAGAAATAAAGCAATCTATTCCTGAATTATTGAAAATAAAAATAAATGATGATTAAAATCCAACATCGCCATTCTATTATGCTGGATTTGATTAATTCACTTTAATATGTATCTTTATTCCCTAAAAGGAAACAAAAATACAATGGGACTGCATTAAATACACTTTAACTTTACTCTTAGATTCGGGGACCCGCCAGACCCACCTGTCCTTTGGAGCGTGGTTGAGTGTGTGCGGTTTCTGCTGGACGTCGCGGACCGTAGTGTTCTGCCTGACTCCTCCTAGCAGACCTGTCCGACCTGCACCCACGTGTGTGGAATGATCTGAGCCTTCAGAAATGATGCTCCTTTTTCCCTCTTTCCATTTCGGTTTAGGATGTGAAATATCCCGAGTATCTTGATATACGACCGTACATGTCTCAACCCAATGGAGAACCGATTATTTATGTCCTCTACGCAGTCCTGGTACACACGGGTTTCAACTGCCATGCTGGCCACTACTTCTGCTACATCAAAGTAAGCCAGCTGTGCGCGTTTTGTGGAGAGCGGTGTGTGGATCTACATGCAAGCAAGATAACACTGTCATTCTGGGGTGATCGTGGGGACTTTTACAGTTAAAATGTGAATGTCCATTGTTTATCTAGATATAGCTAACCTGTCTTGTTGTCTCTTGTCTGCAGGCTAGCAATGGCCTCTGGTATCAAATGAATGACTCTATTGTGTCTACCAGTGACATTAGGTCGGTGCTCAGTCAGCAAGCTTATGTTCTCTTCTATATCAGGTATGGCATGAAAACAGAGCCTCGGTTTTGTCAGGAGCGATTTTCATTAATAAGAATAATAGTATAGTAAGTTTGTCTGCCGCATGGAAAAAGGGAGCCAGAGGTAGTGATAACAACAACAAAAAAAAAACCCAAAGTAGAAGGAGGGAATAGTGTAGTTACAGGACTTCCCAATGAAGAAGAAGTCAAGTTGATTTCTAGGAAAATAAACCTAACTGTAACTCTAAAACTATATCAAGCTTTACTCCTCGGGTAGCCCAATCCTTACTCTAACCTAACACTTAAGAAAACAGCCATTACACATATAGAACATCATATCAATATGTACTATATTTATATGCATAAGTCACACACACGCATGCCTGCACACGCCGGAGCTTCTAAAAGTTCTTGGAACATCTTAATTCCATTTTCTCACAAAGTTTTTGAAGCCCGTGTTTATGTTTTTATCTTGTTTGCTCGTCCTTTCTCATTGGCAAACATAAGTTCAGTATCAGATTACTTTTAACGCAGCAAGGAGCCCTGTGGTGCAGTGGGTTAAGCATTGGACCGCTAATCACAAAGTTGGTGGTTCAAACCCACCAGCTGCCCCGAGGGAAAAGATGAGGTTGCTTCCGTCCAATTGAAGTCTCAGAAATCCTCTGGGGTGGTTCTGCTCTGTCCTCTAGGGGCGCTCTAGGTCAGAATTGACTAGAAGGCAGTGGGTTGAACACAGCAGCCAGCTGGGTAGCTGTGCTGTGGGCCATGAGTGCATGTTGTGGATTTGGTGGCGCTCTCAGTTCTTCGGCAGGTGCAAGGGGGAGGGATAGCTTCCCCTACAGGCAACAAAGAATGTGGGCCTGAGGACCGTGGGGGCTGTGGTGGATGGAGGTAGGTGAGGGTCTCTGAGCAGCAGAGAGCTAACAGCGGCCCCTCCATCTCCCGAGCAGGGGCAGTAGCCACCTTCCTGGGCCAGCCCTCTTGTCCATAGCAGCTCTCATGAGCATCCTCTCTTGGTACTGTCACATCCTCTGACCCGTCAGCTCCATTTCCAGAAATGTGGCCTTCGGGAACACTCTGCCGTGTGCCTGCAGGTGTTCATGATGGTTGCTGTTGTGGAGGCAGTTTTGACCCATTGTGACCCTGTAAAGCAGCGCTGGGCAACCTTTTTTTTTTTTTTTTTTTAATGTTTTATTATGAATTATGTGATAGTTTACATGGGAGAACATTAGCTTAAATTCATTCTATCACATATTGTTTCATTGCCATGGTTACAGTCCCCTCCATGCATCATCAACCAACCAAAGGGTATATCCCACAAGCCTGCCCCCTAGTCATCAACACACAGCCCCTCACCCTCTCTGTGTGTAAAGTCCTCAGCTGTTCCATCTCCACATCATGGTCTCTGCCTCCATCTCTGGCGTCACTGCGTCTCTGGGTAGGGTCCTGCTCTTTGCTCTTCTCCCTTGATGGTCCCAGGGACCTCTTCTCCTAGACTGCAAAGTTAATCACTCCCCTCTTTTTGCTACAAAATGTCAACCTTTACATTTCCAACCCTCACAGTCAGTCCTGACAACAGTTATTCACTATTGTACCAGAAGAGACCCATTCCCATCTCCTTTCATCAGCCCCACCCAGACAGATTGAATACTAAGTGGAGATTCTACCTTCCTCCGTGCCCTCTGGATCTAGGCTCCGTCTGGATTTAGGCTCCCTCTTGAAAGCTTGTAAACCAGTCACTTCTTGCCTTTGTAGGCTCTCCCATTTTGGGGTAGCCAATGTCCAAGTTGGGCAGCCTTTTTTCTGCCAAAATTTATGCTGTTATTTGCGGCCGTACAAAATTACCAACTTAAAAATTAGCCTGTTATTTTGGTCAAACATTTAATTATATCACTCCTAATGTTATGGTTGGAACTGCCTTGGCAGGGCCAGACCAAATGATTTCATGGGCCTTGTGACACCTGTGGTACGGGCATCCTACACCCCTGCAGTGCATAGAGTTTCTAAGGCTGTAAGTCTTTGTGGGAGCAGAAAGTCTCATCTTTCTCTTGCAGAGTGGCTTGTGGGCTCGAACTGGTAGCCTTGTGACTCACAATCCAGTGCTTAACTTACAGAGCTACTGCACTCCCCTGTCCATGAAAAATAGTTTACAATTAAGGATCCTCTAAGTTGTCCAACAATAGCAGAATGATCGAGCAAATTGTAATCGACCCTGATATACCTGCTGAAATTGGTTTTGAGAACGTTTTTTGTTTTTAGTGGTATAGAGGTGCTCAGTTTATATGAGAGAAGAGTGGTTTGAAATGTTATGTACAGGCCTTGAAAAAGCACTGTAGGCCCTGAAGATCAAGGTACTGTACCAGATCCGAATAGGGAGGCGTCTCTGAGTAGCAGCCAAAGGGCCATGTATGTTGTATTTCTTTTACTGGACATTGATTGATATATTGATATATTTTTCTTGTTGTTAAGTACTGTGGAGTCGATTCCAACTCATAGTGATTTTGTACAGGGTTTCCGAGGCTGTAAATCTTTATGAGAGCAAAACGCCTCATTTTTCTCCTGTGGAACAACTGGTAGTTTTGAACTGCTGACGTTGCGGTTGGCAGCCCGAACTCATAAGCACTATGCTACCAGAGCTCCTATATTGATATATAGATATAGATAAAAGGAAAAATTGTTTTCAGGTATTGGCATCCTCAGAATGACTGTTAAGTGCTGTCTAGTCTGTGCCTACTCATAGTGACATGGTATAGGGTTTCTGAGGTCTGAAGCCTTTGCAAGAGCAGAAAGTCTCATCTTTCTCCCACGGAGAGGATGGTGGGCTCAAAACACCAACCAACATTGTGATTCACAGTCCTGTAGAACCACCACACTCCTATACTCTAAGTTGTTGTTGTTGTTAAGTGCCATCAAATCAGTTCTGAGTCATAGCAACCCTGTATGGGGCTTCCGAGAGGCATGGCTGGTCAGTTTGAGCCACTGACGTTATGGTTCAAACCAACCTTATGGTCCAGTACTTACAGTACAGCGCCACACCAAGACTGCATGCTTAGAATACATGGGTACAGATCTGCTTAGTTTTCTTGTCCCTGGGTAGAACAGTTGACATCCACCTCAGCCTGCAGGGGAGAAGGCGGTGGTGGGGGGTGGGGGGGGAGTTCTAGTGTCAGTGTTTTGCCTGAGGAGTGGGCTGTGGCTCCAGATGGACCTCGGTGAACGCTGTCACACTCTTTACCTCCAGGGCCCACGATGTGAAAAATGGAGGCGAACTTACTCATTCCACCCACAGCCCAGGCCAGTCGTCCCCCCGGCCGGTTATCAGTCAGCGGGTTGTCAACAACAAACAGGCCTCGGCAGGCTTCATTGGACCACAGCTCCCTTCTCATGTGATAAAGGTAACACTCATCGGTAGGCGCTAATCTTTGAGAGTCATCGTTGACATTATTATAATCAAACCCTCAAGTTCACATGGCACTAGTTGCTATGTTTTTTTCCTCTACATCTGGGTTTACATCAGTTAGAAAAGTTGATCCCAGCCCTTTTATGTATTAAGAAGATTTCCAGATATGCCGAAAACCTGATATAATGATCAGAGAGAAAGTGTGGATATCTGTTGTTGATGTTGGTTCTTGCCAAGCTGATCGCAGTGCGTGACCTGCTCCATTGGATGTGCCTGACCAGAAGCAGACAGCCAGGCTTTTTCTCTCACGGTGCTGCTGGGTGGGTTTGAACCGCCAGCCTTTAGGTTAGCCCATGCAAACCACTTGTGGTTCCAGGGATAATGATACAGAAAACAGTTTGTATAGAAGATTATACCTACATATTAGGAATTGTTAACTTCCACTTTGAACTCCCACTTACTCTGCTGATGACCTAGTTCGTGGATGTCTAGTGCTGGACTCCAGGAAAGTGACCCTTTACATGGACACTTTGGGATGGTCCACATTGCTTTTGCAGGATTTGGCATCTTCTGTGTGTTTTCATGGGCTCCCTGATGGCTCCTGTCCAGGAGAAAACCTACAGTGTTAGCCATGCTGAAGGAAATGCACAGTGTGAATGGAAAGGAGGCTGACTTTACGTCCAGGTCCTTTTCAATTTCAGCTGACTTAGTTGTGAATGATCACACAGATTGCCGGTTGTGTGCTGTATGTGGATGGCAGCAGTAGTCTTGAATCCAAAGTCTCTGGGAGCTGGCCAGGCAGCAGGCTTCTGGGTAGGGGACCTCTGGACTCAGGCAAATCGGATCCCACAAGCCCATGTATGGGGCAGCCTCTCTTGTTTCATCACATGTTTTTTTTCTTTTTTGTGTGTGTGTTTTACATGAAACATTCTACTTTTAAGATAGTAGCTATTTCAGAGAGTTAAGAAAACATAGTGAAGACCAGACAAATGTCACCTCTAAGCCAGACATCATTCATGAGCACTTGGCAGCTTCTGGGGTGGAGCCACTGTCCTTGGGCTGTGGGCAAAACCCCTACACGAGTCCCAGGCCAGGTTAGGGGGCCTGTGCTTGCTTAGGTCTCTTCTGTGTCTGTGGGAGCCCCTTCCTCCTATGTTAGTGGTAGACTCCCGAGAAACTCCACTGAGGAGAACCTGCAGACAGCACGTGCAAAGGGGCTGCTCATCTGCCTGATTTGGGCCAACTGAGTGTCACTTGAGCTTGTGCTGTAGAACATATTCTGACTGACATTTGTCTCTATTTGTGTGATTCATTGCCCAGACTTGTGAAAGGGATGTGATGGGCAGGCGCGGCTGGAAGAAAGGAGGGAGGTATTTCAGGTAGTATGACGCTTGTGATTTATTCAAAGAGAAAGCAGACCAAAATGGGAGGGAGGGCCCATGAGGCAGACTGGATGCTGGTTTGGGTGACACTGTTATGGAACCCTCACCCACCCTGGTTTACTTCCTTCCAGAACCCACCGCATTTAAATGGGAGTGGACCCTTGAAAGAAACCCCAAGCAGTTCCATGTCGAGCCCTAATGGGACTCCCAGTGTCAACAGGGCCAGTCCTGGGAGTGCTTCCACTTCGGTTCAGAACTGGTCAGTGAACAGAGCCGCCGTTATTCCAGAACACCCCAAGAAACAGAAGATTACCATCAGTATTCACAATAAGTTGCCTGTTCGCCAGGGTCAATCTCAGCCTAACCTTCATAACAACTCTCTGGAGAACCCTACCAAGTCTGTGCCCTCTTCTACCATTACCAACTCTTCTGCAATACAGTCTACCTCGAATGCCTCTCCCATGCCAGTTTCTAGTAAAGTAACCAAGCAGATCACCCCCAGTGAAACCTGTCCCCAGCCCGTGATGAACGGCAAGTCCAAGCTGAACTCTAGTGTGCTGGTCCCCTATGGTGCTGAGTCGTCTGAAGAGTCCGACGAGGAGCCCAAGGGACTAGGCAAGGAGAATGGTCTTGGGACAACCGAAAGCTCTCATCCCTCTGGCCACGAGGCTGAGGATGGTGAGGTTTCTCAGCATGAGTTTCAAGCGCCTATTACCCTTAACGGTGCTAACAGCATGGACAGCGACCTGAAGGAAAACGGTCTGCCCTTGGATGCTGCCAGCTGCCCAGCCCAGCCCGCTCCACACTTGGAAAACCCCTTTTCTAAGGCCAATGGTCTCCCTGCAAAGGTGAGTGAGCTGTCTGCTGGGTGGAATGACTGGCAGTACAGAGCTGTTGGGGGTTCGAGTTGAGATAGTGCTTGTTTTTCTATCCTAGTTGATGCCTGCACCTTTGCCACCTCTCCCAGAAGATCAAGTCCTAGAGACCTTCAAACTCAGCAGCAAAGTCAAAAGCTCGATGGAAGAAACCAGGTAAACAGACCTTATAGACAAATGGGACTGCCGACATTTCAGATAGGAGCCCAACACTTAACCCACTGTGCTATCAGGTTTCCTTGAGTAATATTTATAGAATCTGTTACTTGGTTTTTTGGAAAAGAAAGTTGTAAAACTGTAGTCAAGTCCATGAAAACCTGATGTGTTTGCGCTAACGCTTCCTTCTCCCATGTAGCCGCCCTCTGGTTATGGCACCCGTCTGAATTAGCCATCCCATGCTTTCTCATGGGACCCTTAATGACAAGCAATTGTAGGAGTTTCTAATGACCTCTCTACTATTCTGTCATTCAGTTACACGTTAATTTTAAAGAAAGTGGTATATTTCCCTAGCTGACACAACACTGAGGAATGAAAGGAAAGGTCATAGCTTTTTCACTAGGTAATCGGGTACAGTAGGACCGGTGAGCGGGCAGGTAGGTGCCTGTGTCTGCGAGTGGACCCTGTGGTGTGCTGGAACTCGTCCTCAGCAACATGACTCGCTAAAGGTTTCAGAGATGTTCTGACCAGACCTCAGTGCCATCATCTCTAGATTCACACAGTAGGTCCATTTTTGAAAAACTGCATGTCTGTTAATGGAGTCCTGGTGTGGTGCACTATAGAACAAACTATTGGACTTCTAACTACAAGGTCAGTGGTTCAAACCCATCAGCTTCTCCTCAGAACCAACTCAGTGGCAATTAACATTAAAACTGTGCCTGCCAATAGCCAGGTTTCTCACCCTTGTGAGTGTCAGGACATGTGACACACATGGCACTCGTTCCTGATGGGGGGGATCCCTTGTCTCCTTGTGGCAACCCCCAAATTAACCCCCCCTGTTTTGAAAATGACCCCTGCAGGCGGGTCTGCAGTCCCTGAGAACTGATCATCCAATAGGACAGAAGAACGCTGGGTGCTCAGCCCCAGCATTCCCCAAAGGTGGAATGGCCTCTCTGCTCAGTTTCTCACTTTGTGGCTCTCCCCGTTTTCCTTTTGGTCTGGCTCAACGGATGCTTGTACAGGTGGCCGTATAAGCAAACCACGTGTGTGTCTTCACAGACTCAAGTTGCTTTACAAGTTGGCCAGACGCTCACCCTCACGTTGCAGGCGATTCTCTGCAGCAACTCCATGTGTCTTCTCGCCCCAGGCTACTCCCTCTAAGCAGTGGGCCCTTACTGGTTGCTGGCAGTGCGGGTTAATCCTGAGACCACAGCAAAAGCGTGACCGTGATTAGGGCAAGTTGGTTTGCTAGAGGAAGCTTTTCTGTGGCCCCATTGATGCCTCCTAGTTTATAAGACTCCAGGGAGCTGCTGGATCCAAGGCTCCAGGAGAAGCTAGAGCTTCATTCACCTCATCGACTCGGGTAGACTGAGTTACTAAGGGAAGTGAGAAACATTCTCAGAAGCAGGAGGATCGGAACTGCAGAATTATTGATGCTGGAAAATGCTGGACAGGAGGTAGGCTTGATACAAAATTTAGTGTGTTTCTCTAAGAAGGGAAAGAAACAGTTCAACGTTCCTAGTGATGGTCAGGAATTTTAGCCAGATACGGTTAGAGGTGTAAATAGCTACTAAGTGGATTTGTGAAGTATTTATCCCTGTAAGCTAATGACAAAAACTGTTAAGCAGTCAAGCTAATGACCTCTTTACTTCTTTCTCTCAGTGGGGGCTACAGTGCAGCTGGACCAGAAAAGAACCCTGAAGAGGAGGCTGAGGTGGAGGGCAGCACTCTGGATCCCAGCGAAAGTCTGGAGGCCGTGGTGGGTCTCAGCAGCCAGTTAACGAAGGCACTGCCTCCCACTGAGCTCAGCATCAGATCTACCAAAGAGGACGCATCCGAGAACTGTTCCGCAAACCCCACTGAGCCTTTGCCCAACTCCAACAATCTTTTTAATGCCAACAAGAGTACCTTAGGGGATGCCCTGCTCTCCACACTGTGCGATCCTGGTGGTTTAACCAGTGATCCGATCAAACCAGGACAAGATGTGAATGGGACGTTAATAGAGGGCCCGCGGAGCAAAGGCTTGGTGGAAATGGCAGAGAAGATAACACCGACACTCTCCGTAAACTCTGACGATGAGTGTGACCACAAACTCCGGGTTTTCGTCAGTGGAGAGAAATGCCAAGAACGTGAGGACCTCCTCCAGAGCTCAGGTGTGGTCCCAAGTGAGCTGCCCTGCCCCCTGTTAGACCCCCTCACAGAAAATCATCCCTCAGATGGGGCCATGGAGCAAAGCATCAGTGAGAGAGGCGAAGAAAATAAGGCTGGGCAGAAAGTTCTGGACCATTCTCCTGTCAAGGAAAAAATCAGCCTCAGGAAAGTTGATCGAGGACATTACCGGAACCGACGAGAGCGTTCCTCCAGCGGCGAGCACCCAAGGGAGAGCCGCAGCAAGACCGAGGACCGCTACCACAAGCAGCCTCGACACCCCTACATGCGGGAGCGACCCCGGCAGGACCGCCACAAGCCTGAGCACTGCAATGGGAGTCAGCACCATACGGCTCCCAGCGAGCGGAGCAGCCCCAGTGAACGTCACACCCTGGGCCGGTACAGCCACCACCACTCACGGATCCGAAGCGGGTCCGAGCAGGAGTGGAGCCGGTACCAGCACTCCGACAGTGAGCACTGCTGGGGCCGTGACAAGTACTACCCTGAGAAAACAAGGTGGGACAAGTGTCGCTACTACCATGACAGGTACGCCCCCTATACGGCCCGGGAGTGGAAACCGTTCCACAGCGACCGGGAGTACGACAAAGCGGCTCCATACAGCAGCCGGCCGTACAAGGACTACTACAAAAGCCGGAAAGGCTACGAGCTGGTGGCCAAAGAGAAGGACCGGCACCACTTCAGCAGTCCCAGGGTCGGCCCGCCCCACACGCTCCCACCCTACCCAGAAAAATACCCCCTCGAGAAAGTCGCACTTGTCGCTGACGAACTTGGTGGTCATCTGTCTGATCGCTTCCACAGCCACGCCAATGGAAAGTCTCGGAAGCGGCGATATGGCAGCGTAGAAATGACCGAGGCTGAGAGGGAAGCCAGGAGAAGCCAGCCCAAGGAGTCCTTCGAAGAGCCCAAAGTGAAGAAGCACAAAAAGTCCAAGAAGAAGAAGAAATCCAAAGACAAACACAGAGACCGGGACTCCAGGTAGGTGTGGAGCCACCTGTGGGCCGGGGAGGCCGTGGGCCCAGGCCACGAATCGTGGCTGCTCCGTTGTCCACAAGCTCTACCTCTGTCTTAGCCCCACTTAGTAACTAGTCAAGGAAAGGCTACATCATGCTTATTGGATTTATGTTTTCATCTTTCTGTGGGTTTTCAGATTGCACTGTTTTTATAGATTTCTAATACCTAGTTGTGCTTTGTTAAGCTCCTTCTTGCTTCATGGCACACAAGCAGAACTCAGAGAAATGGAGAGTTCAGTTCCTCAATGAGTAGACGAGTTACATTTGTACTAGACTGTTACCTATGAGGTGTGCACAAGCATGGTCAGAGAGTTGGGATTTGTGGGAATGACGGACACGGGACACGGATATGAAGTGAACCCACATGGTGGGGAGAAGGATGCCAATAGACATGCTTGATGCAGGGTGACCACAAACCTTCTATTTGTGAAAGAAAATATATAAAACATCCACGAAACACAGCAAAGTGAAGCTCAGGTTTACCTGGATAGTAACATGCCCAACCAGCTTGTACTTCAAAATGCTGTTGCCAGTTTTAGCTAGCATTTTGTAACTCTCGTGCTGGGGTTCTTATTCACCACATGTGGTTCGTATTTTCTTCATGTTCAGTGGCTGTCCGAGGGCAGGCTACACTCCTCCAATGCCATTGTTTCTTGTCTCTGTGGGTCACTTTGAAAGGGACATTGGTTCTGTATTCTTAAGAAGCAAATTGTGTGGTGGTTGCCTTGAAAAAGGTTTCTCCGTGCTTTAGTGGAATAGCAAAGGGCAGAATCACTCCGTAGTTTAGGCGCCAGCTCTTCAAATGGAAACCCCGGGAAGAACTGAGCCCTGGATGCCTAGACAGTGATGACTTGAGGGGAAGGCAGAGCACATAACCACCTTTCTCCTGTGTGCATGAGATACCTGGTGGAACATTCTGTTTGTTTGCTGGAATCCCCCAGCATGTTTTACCACTGAGCAGAGTTCTGCACAGCCAAGGAAGGCTTCGGCAGAGCAGTTGAAGTTTAGGGATGAATGTCTGACCTTGACCTTAAACACTGGTTACAGTGAAAACAACCCATGTTCAGTTAGATAATGTGCTTTGCCAGTGTTCAGAACAACACGTGGGTCTAAAAACCAAGTGGGTTTGCTTTTCTTACTGTATTTTTTATTCTGGTACGGTCTCTTACAGGCATCAGCAGGATTCAGATCTTTCAGTCGTGTGCTCTGATGCTGACCTCCACAGACACAAAAAAAAGAAGAAGAAAAAGAAGAGGCACTCAAGGAGATCAGAGGACCTTATTGCAGATTCTGAACTCCAGTTGCCCAAGGCCGCTGGCTCTGAGACTGTGCACCATGCCCGGAGAGCCCAGGGCGGCATCCCTCTCCACCCTGGTGGGCCTCTTGAAGGCATGGGACCTTGCCGCGAGAAAACCAAACACCTCCGGATGGAAAGCAGGGAAGGCCCGCATCGCCTCTCTGAGTGCGGCCAGGGTAAGTGTTCTTAGTTTAGAGTTAAGAACAGAGAAAATCTTGTTTTTAATAAAAATCAAAGTTTTTAAGGGAAGAAACCCAGTGGCATGAGTTATATGGAATGATGTGTAAGTTTCCCACCCACCCCATCCCTCCAGGCCCACCTCTTAGATGTACAGTGTGACTCAGTTGTCTGGTTTAGATACTTATCACTGACCCCTTAGCATTCATTGGAAGCTCGTGTTAGGTAGCACCAAACCCAACAGAGCCCGGAATCAGTAAGTCCCAGAATATCTGGTTCTGGATGTTTGCCTCATAAAGGTCTAGAAAACCCAGCTGAGTCGATGCCAACTCCTAGCAACCTAGAGGACAGACTCGGGCTTCAGAGGCTGGACATTTTTACAGAAGCAGACTGCCACATCTGTCTCGCAGAGTGGCAGGTGAGTTTGAACTGCCAGTCTTTCAGTTGGCAGCTGAGTGCTTAAGCACTGTGCCATTGGGCTCCCTTCTTTTGAAGGACTCGAACTCTGCAAACCGTTTTTGATAAGACATATTTTTGCTCTCCCAAGTCCTTAGACCACTGGTATTTCTCACTGTAATCTGATGACTCGGGTCCTTGGAAGATTAGTTCTAGGTCTGAGAGAGAGCAACGCTCTGAGGCTGCTCCACTTTGTTTTGTTTGTCTTGCTCTCACAGTTTGATGTTTTCCTGAATGGAAAGAACTATGTGTGAAGTTGCCTCTCTTCCCCTTTCTGATGGGCTCCCAGGGACCTTTGACCTGAAAAGTTGCTTTTGGAGCCTGTTACAGGTCCCTGGAATATCAGTCAGTTGTCCTAGAGTGAAGTTGGCAAACACTGTCTTTCCAGGGTCTGCAAGTTAAGAATCGTTGTGGCATTTGTACTTTTGTATGTGTGTGTGTTGAACAAATACAAATATGCTGGACAAGAACTACAGTATCTCAACTTTTTAATTTTTATTATTGTGAACTGAGTGATAGTTTTACATGGAAGAACATGGGCTTTATACCATCGTTTCAATCTCCTCTGTACATCATTATTCAAAAGTATTTGCTTCTGTTCCCTCTGTTTTGCTGGGGGTGGGGAGTAGGCAGATGTACAAAGAAACACTCAGGAATATATAATCATTAAACAACCAAAGGGCACATTCTGCAAGTCTGCCTCCTGGCCGCCGTACTCTGTCCCTCTCTTTCCATGAGTCCAGAGTCCTCAGCTGCTCCCTCTCTCCGTGTCCTCATCTCTGCCTCCATCTCTGGTGTCGCTGCTTCTCTCAATAAGGGTCCCTGACAGTTACAGTCAGTCATGATAATAATTACTCACAGTTGGATCATAAGAATCTTATCCCCATCTCTTTTCACCAGACCCATGTAGACAAGATGAAAACTGTTCAGTGGGGACTCTAAATTCCCCTGCACACTCTTAAACTCCCTCTTGAAAACTTGTAAGCCAGTCACTTGGTGCCTTTATCACCCCTTCATTTTAGGGAGCCAATGTATAAGTTGCCCATCCCTGTATACCCTGTATTACAGAGGGGCTAGGATTGATATATATGTATTTTTTTAATTTGAAAATGTCAGAAATACAATTGATGATTTTTTTTATAAAAGGTCTTTATTGTGAATTGATTGAAAGTTTACAGGGCAGATAGATCATCATTCAACAAATCATATATACCTTGTTTCATTACAATGATTATAATCCCCTCCATGTACCATCAGTTAATAAGTGAATTTCTATTCACTTTAGCTCTTTTTTAAAAAACAAAACAAAAGCAACACTCAGGCATATATAATGATTTACACATCTAAAGGGCACATTCTGCAAGTCTGCCTCCTGGCCACCAGCTCTTAGTCCCTCTCTTCCCATGAATCTAGACCTCAGCACCTCCCCCTCTCCATGCCCCCATCTCTGCCTCTATCTCTGGCATCGCTGCTTCTCTGGATAAGGTCCTGCATTCTGCTTGTGCTCTTCTCCCTTGATGGTCCTAGAGTCCTCCGTTTCTGGACTGTAAGATTAACCATTCCCCTGTTTTTGTTAGAAAACTTCTACCTTTATAGTTGTGATAGTCACAATTAGTCATAATTATTCACTATAATATGAATCTTATCCCCATTTCTATTCACCAGACCCATCTAGACAAAATGAAAATTATTCAATGGGGACCCTTTCTTCCCCCCAACACTCTCAAACTATACTCCCTCTTGAAATTTTATAAGCCAGTCACTTTGTGCCTTTATCGCTCCCTCATTTTAGGTAGCCAATATCTAAGTTGCCTGTCTCTACTGACCCTGTGTACAGAGGAGATAGCATTGATACTTGATGTGAAGACTCCTTCCCTCTCTGTTGGTATTTAGAGTTACTACCTCCATGAGAATAGGTCAGGTTCATCAAATTGTAGCAATTTACCCTTGTTTCCTTTATCCCCAATTTTTTTTTTTAATCATCTCTAGTTATGTTCTGATTATCAAGCCATTGACGCTAGGTCAAATGGGTACTGTCTGCAAGTTTGGGTGTTCTTGTGCATCTCCCCTCACTTCATATCAGCTGGATGCTTCACTCTCAGCTCTAGCCCTCTATGGCTATGTCGATGTCCATGGGCTCAAGTGTCCCCAGGTCTCACCACACTTTGGACCAACCAGCCCTTCCTCTTCTCTCTCTCATCTCCAGGTCAACAGGAGTCAACGGGCTGTGGTTGAACTCAGACCATTAATTCATAGGATGCCTTTCTCCCTCTTCCACTCACCAGTAGACCAATGTGGTTGCCAGCAAGCTTACATGCTTGTTTGTGTGTTCCCTTTGAGTTTCAGTCTTAGAGGGGAGTTTGTCCTGAAGGAGTTTGATTGCTTGCCTTGATGGCTTCCTCGTGAACAGCTTGCTTATTCTTGTAGTTTGTTTTGGATTTTTCCTAATCTTTCTTTGAAGATGTACCTTCTGTTGCACTAGCTAGTCCAGGCTGGTCTGCTTGTCCTTTCTAATGGGAATGTCCCACCTCATAAAGTTCTGGATGGGTAATCCAATCAGTTACAGGCTGAAGATGGGCTTACAAGTTTTCTGTAATCATGTTTTCCAACATTTGTATCCCACTAAAGTGGGATTTTACAATATTTTACAATAGTAGACAGGGGAAACCAATATTCATAAGACAGTCAAGCATTTCAGTATTATTTTCCCTCTTCTAACTATGCCTAGATCCCTGTATCACAGAGCCCTGTTGTTCCAAGATTGAGCATGCATTACTATTTACCTCTGTCCCACTTAGGCCATGCAAACCTGTCTCAGTGTTCCCCTATCTATCTTGTTATTCCACCTCCTCCCTCTTCTTGTATTGTTCTCTCTAATACCCAAACTAAACCTCCCACCCCAACCCCACTGTTGTGGTTACCTTATATTCCATTAACTCTTCCCTCCATTTAAGACAGTCTATTTAGTCCTGTAGTGTACCTGACCTTCTCACCACCTGGATCTCTGTTCCTCTGTGTTTACCTTCTTTCACATTGTAATTATTTTGATAATAGACTGACCTCCCAGATCCTCTGTTCTTATAATTTTATTCTGTTCTTGACTCTTCCATTTGTCGATTGAGTTCAGAGTGATACTGCCGTGTTCATCATTCTCTGGTTGTTGTCTGTTCTTGTTGGTTGTCAGTCCACAGAACTTCCTTTAGGATGTTTTTCATAGCAGGGTTGGCTTTGGCAAAATCCCTTAGCTTCTGTTTATCCTGGAATGTTTTGATTATACCATCGCATTTGATTGACAACTTTGCTAGGTAGAGGATTCTTGGGTGGAAGTTTTTTTCTTTCAGGGTTTTATATATGTCTCCCCATTGCCTTCTTGCCCGCATGGTTTCTGTTTAGAGATCCGAGCTTAATCTGATTTGCTTGCCTTTGTATGTTACACTTCACTTCTCTTTTCCCTAGCTGCTGTCAGGATTCTCTCCTTATCTTTGATTTTGGAGAGCTTGATTATTATATGTCTTGGTAATTGTCTTTTAGGGTCTGTCCTTCCTGGGGTTCGTTGAACTTCTTGACTACTTATCTTTTTACTTTTCAGGATATTAGGGAAGTTTTCTTCCAGAAGCTCTTCAACTATCCCCTCTGTGGACTTGTGTAATTCTTCCCTTTTCGTGATGCTGATAATTCTAAAGTTATTCCTCTTCATGTTGCCCAACACGAATCTTAGACCTCCTTCAGATTTTTTTATCCTTTTTGTGCTTGCTCTTCTATCTTAGTAGTGTTGAGAGATTTATCTTCGAGCTCACTAGTTCTGGCTTCTATCTCTTCAATTCTACTCCTTTTCCCTTTTAGTGTATTGTCCATTTCTCATATTCTATTATTAACCATTTGGATCTCTTTTTGTAGGTTTTGAATTGTTTCCAATGCTGTATTTATCTTATTTGATTGTTCCTGTAGCACTTTCCTGACTTCTTCCTTATTTTTCTCAACTTCATTGTATAGTGTTTTGATACATTTTATAATCATTTTTCTGAATTTCTTTTCAGGCATTTCCAAAGCCTGCCCATCTTTCTGTATGGAGTGTAGGTCTACTTCCAGCTCATTTGCTTCAGTCACTTTATCTCGTTTCTGGACATGTGTAGATATGGTCATCTGTTTCTGTTTTTGGGGGCATACTCAGGAGTTATCTTAATACTTAGATGGGTGTGTATTTTGGTATTTTTTATGTTTCTGATTGCCTCCAGGTAGATGCCATCAGGAGATGGGCTTCCCTTTTCACTCTTCTTCCTGAGAAATTTCAAGATGTCACTGTTGTTCGTTGTAACCTAACTCAGGATTTCATTTTTGGCTTATTTCCTTTTCTTTCTGCCTGTCCAGCCTTTTCAGGCCTTTTCCCTAGTTCAGGCCTTTTCCCTAGTAAGACACAGTTCAGGGCTGGCTGTGGCAGTTTTTAACTGCCATTTGTTTTTTTTTTGTTTTTGTTCTTATCATTTTATTCTGTTCTTGACTCTTTCATTTGTCGACTGAATTCAGGTTGATGCTGCCATGTACG